GCCAATGTATTAATATCGTCTAATTGACGGAATATGTCACATTGAAATGCATTAACATACATATATTATTGACATTGTCATATAATAATATCAAAATCTGAGTGTAAATTGAAATTCAAATGAATTTGAGATTGAGTATGGAATGAAATGAAATCGAAATTAACTTATTGAATTGGATTGTCAAAATGCAAACACGTTTCAATATGTTTAAAAGATTTAAATGCACTAAGGTGACATAAATTTCCACTTTGCAATATACAAAACAATAATTGAACATAATTTCTTCATTGAATGCTAGTATAAAGATTGAACTAAAAATTAATACTTTAATAATTATTTAAAAGATTGAACTAAACAAATGTGAATTATATATATATATATATATAATACAAATAGTATTATTAATATTAATATTAATATATGAATGAAAAAAAATTAAAAAACGCCTGAATTTGTCATGCAAAAAACGTAATCGGGTGGATTCATTTATATAATTTTCGAAAAAATAAACTTTTTAGAAAGTAATGATATAGCAAGTCATGATAAAGTTTTCAACATAGAATAGAAAAGATATAAAATATATAAAAACAACATAGCACAAACAACATAAAACATATAAATTAAATATAATTACTTCACATATTTTCTAAAGTCCAATGCGTCTTTGTAAAAGATAAAGTGCCCTTAAAATGGATTTTTTTACAAAAATAACTATGAATAGTGAATGTAAATGAAAATGGTGAATGAAACTTAAATAAGGTGAATGTAATGCATGCCCATTACATCCATTACAAATATTAAAAGAAAAAGTTAAATCTTTAGAATCATTCACTTTGAGAAAAGGTACAACCAAGATGGTAACTCAAAATTTGAAAAGATCAGAACTTCAAAAAGAATAATTTTAAAGCTTAAAACTTAACATAAAAAAAAAATACCATTTTCAATATATTTTCAGCTTTTATGTTTTGTTGACCAATGTTTTTTAATTTTGAATACTAACTTCATATAATTAGAGACACAATTTTAATTTGGTTTTCTTGTGGCTTATTAACATAATTTTAGGTTTATTAGTGTGTCCAAACCCTGGTCGAAACCTCATCATTTTCTACTTGATGCATTATAATTGATTTAAGGAATTTTTGAAATTTAGCTCAAAAGAATACATATTTAATATTTAATATCTCTCGTGATTGTGTATAACTTTTTGTAATTACATAGATGAAGCTCGGAGTAAAAGAAATTAGTTAAAAAGCCAGATACATTATCTGGCTTATATTCACATCACTTAAAGATTTGGAATTTAATTTACATGAAACAATGGGGCAAATTGCAACAACTTATCAAGAATCCCCATCGAATCCTAGTTATCATAACTTGTTGGATAATTTGGAAGTTAATGTGAATATAGTAATGTAATTGCAATTAAGCTCGTTAAGGACCCTCTTGCAATATCATTAAGATTGGTGGGTCATATTTCAACATACTGTTACAGAAAGCAATGTTTCCTCAATCTGGGTGACAAAGTTTGACTCTTCTTCCTTTTCTTCTTTCTTCTTTGACATTATTGTCCAATCGTAACTAACACTCTCTATTTTAGCTCATGCAACTAATATCTTCAAAATGACAACAAAGAATAATAAAATTATTTATAATTATAAAAATAAATAAAAGCAATAATTTTATTTATATGTACATGATATTTTTAGTATAAAAATTTATTTTACTTTTAGAAAATAATAAATTTTAAAAAAATAGTCAAATAAAAAATAGTTAAATTTAAAAATAAAGTACTTAAAATACATATTTAAAGGTAAAGTTTGAAAAAAAATGTAAATACGAAATAAGATAGTATATACATTTAAATTAAACAACTTCATTTATATTGAATTTAAGGTGAATAAAAATCTAGGGTTACTCCTGTTAATTTTTTATAAGTAATTAAAATTAATTAATTAGTTTAGTGATAATTTGTCAACATTCAGTATAGTAGGTACACAGGTGGCATGCTGGATCTATTTCAAATATTCAATTCAGCGACTTGACCAGAAGACCGCCAGAGTCTATTTGGCTCCATCCACACTGTTCACCAATCCGTATCATAACCATCCAACGGCGCAAAATCTTAGAAGGTGATTGCAGCGTTGCACCCGAGCGTACCAGAAAGCTACCTGTCTCCCTTATCCTGCGCACACCGCCCCTGCCACTGTAACCACAATGGCCGAAGAGCCCGAAACTAACCCACCACCGCCGGACCCTCCAATTCCCTCTGCACCGGAGGTTGAGGCGGAAACGGCTCCGCCGGCTGCAGCAACTGCATCGCAGCCGAGCATCGAGATCGCCGCTCCTCCGGCGTTAGCTCCGAAGCGGCAACGCCGTCCGAGCGTCCGTCTAGGAGAGATCGGCGACCAACGTGCCGCCTTACATGGCCACGACTCGCATACGCGCCGTCCGAGCATGCCACCATGGAGCTGGCGGACTCCGAAGGAATCTTCAAGAACTTCGAAGGCTCGTTCCGTCACGAACCTCGCGAACGGCGGCGAAGAGTTCGGAAGCACCAACAACCGTAGGGGAAAGGCGAAGCGAGGAGGACCAGCGGCGAAGCGGTTGAGATCAAACTGGACTCCGCGAGCAACGATGGACGAAAATGGTGAGGAAGAAGGTTTTAGGGATTTCGAACATGATCTTGAACAGGATCAGAGTCCGGTGCACTCGGTGGAAGATAACGGTGTGGATTATTGGCACGTGGATCGGAGCGAGGATCCTAGAGTTAGGGTTTCGGATAACGAGGGCGTTGAATCGGAATCGCGGGAACGGAGGAAGAGCGACGGAGTTAGGTCCTGGCTTTTCGAGTTAGGTCTTAGTAGGTATGCGCCTATGTTTGAGATCCATGAGGTCGATGATGAGTTGCTTCCTATGTTGACATTGGAGGATCTCAAAGATATGGGGATCAACGCTGTCGGTTCCAGAAGGAAAATGTACAATGCAATCCAGAAGCTGAGGAAGTGCTTTCCGTGATCGTGGTGTAATGGGATCAAGATGAGTTAATGTATGTATCTATATGTATTATGTATGTGTAGCTTTTCATAGTTTCTTTGTTCTGGTTTTAAGTTGTGGATAGAAAATGCAGTATGTATAAGGAATTTTTTTTTATCTATGGTGAATGAACAATAGGGGCTTAGTGATTGTTATTGTCTCTTTTCTTTTTTGAAACTTCTTGTCTGTCCTGTTTTCTTTCCCATTTTTTCTGTGTGATTTTGCTGCCATAATTGAAATATCTGTTTATCTGATCCCATGGTTTCTTTAACATGGGAGAATAATGAATCTGATGCTTGGCCACTTAATCAATGCACCACCCATATATGGTCAATGTAGGTTTCGATCTTTTGTTCAAAGATTGTTCATATGTTATTTTGAAGTAATGTGCAATTTAATGCTCCTGAAACTTCTGGTTAAGTTGAAGAGTGACTTGGTTTTTTGAAATGGAATTATTACGGAATCATGATTTCAGAAATATGTAGAGTCATTAAGTTGCCCAACAATTGATGATAATGATCTCTTGATTATACTTCTATTTTTCCATCAAAGCATTCTCTTTTAGAGTAAGACTTCAAGCTGTTACTTTCCCCTGGTTGTTATGAAATGAATTAGTCGCTCATTTTCCTTACTTGCCTTTAAGCATGTATGCTGATTGACTTTAAGCCATGCACTGTGAAGTTCTTGTGCACTAAATTGAATTGCATTCTTTATGTAGCCTGACTTCTTGTTTGATTCTTCCATCTCTTGTTCCCCCATAGACTAAACAACTACGTTGATAAACTGCAAGCTTAAGCATCTCCTCTTCCAGTAGAATTCTTCTGTCTGTAAAATATAAGATTGCTGGCTGGACAGAATTTTGTTTCTGTATACTGATTAACCTTTCAGNATGTTGACATTGGAGGATCTCAAAGATATGGGGATCAACGCTGTCGGTTCCAGAAGGAAAATGTACAATGCAATCCAGAAGCTGAGGAAGTGCTTTCCGTGATCGTGGTGTAATGGGATCAAGATGAGTTAATGTATGTATCTATATGTATTATGTATGTGTAGCTTTTCATAGTTTCTTTGTTCTGGTTTTAAGTTGTGGATAGAAAATGCAGTATGTATAAGGAATTTTTTTTTATCTATGGTGAATGAACAATAGGGGCTTAGTGATTGTTATTGTCTCTTTTCTTTTTTGAAACTTCTTGTCTGTCCTGTTTTCTTTCCCATTTTTTCTGTGTGATTTTGCTGCCATAATTGAAATATCTGTTTATCTGATCCCATGGTTTCTTTAACATGGGAGAATAATGAATCTGATGCTTGGCCACTTAATCAATGCACCACCCATATATGGTCAATGTAGGTTTCGATCTTTTGTTCAAAGATTGTTCATATGTTATTTTGAAGTAATGTGCAATTTAATGCTCCTGAAACTTCTGGTTAAGTTGAAGAGTGACTTGGTTTTTTGAAATGGAATTATTACGGAATCATGATTTCAGAAATATGTAGAGTCATTAAGTTGCCCAACAATTGATGATAATGATCTCTTGATTATACTTCTATTTTTCCATCAAAGCATTCTCTTTTAGAGTAAGACTTCAAGCTGTTACTTTCCCCTGGTTGTTATGAAATGAATTAGTCGCTCATTTTCCTTACTTGCCTTTAAGCATGTATGCTGATTGACTTTAAGCCATGCACTGTGAAGTTCTTGTGCACTAAATTGAATTGCATTCTTTATGTAGCCTGACTTCTTGTTTGATTCTTCCATCTCTTGTTCCCCCATAGACTAAACAACTACGTTGATAAACTGCAAGCTTAAGCATCTCCTCTTCCAGTAGAATTCTTCTGTCTGTAAAATATAAGATTGCTGGCTGGACAGAATTTTGTTTCTGTATACTGATTAACCTTTCAGCTACTCTATATGTGTATGCTAACTATGATACTGCAGTAGGGGGTGATCTTTTTTATTTTTTTATGAAATAAGGAACAGACGGTCAGATATGATGTTGTACTTACAATTTATACTGATAAGTTTTCATGATCCTCAGATAATTGTGTTAATGTTTATATTCTGCAAAGTAAATAGTCATAACTTATGGTGGTTGTGGAGGCATCTTTTTTTCCTTTTTTTCTTTCTCATTGTATACTTTGTAATTTTGCATTCTTATGTAAAAAATGACATAGTGGATGGTATATTGTCTATATGTTATGATCAGTATTCCAACTACTTGATCCTTATCGTAACTACATTTTGCAATGCCTTAGCTGGTTTGTGTTTGTAATGATTCAATGAGTTGGGTCATAGTTGAAACCACTGCCACAGTTTGCTTGAGTGGAAAGTCTCAATAGTAGGATCTCATGGGGAAAATTTATAGCCACAGTTTACTTAATACGGGAATTCTAGAACAGGAATTGACTACAGTGCCACTTCAGTTGGCTTCAATCAGATCTTGGCAGTGAAAAGCAAGGGAGATAAGCTGGATAATGGCTTATAGTGATTAGATTTGATCCGTCTTTTGCATAGATTGGTATCATTTCAGCTACCTTTAACTTTAAACTGGCCAATGTGCTTGTGAAGCTAATCATGGTTTCAAACATACTTTTTGAATTAAGGGTATGTACTCATATTGCTTTAAATGCATTGCACTATATGATAAAACGTTTTGCCACCTAAGAAATCCGTATTCTATTTGATAGATTTAAAACGTTCCACCTTGCAAACAAGTTAAGAATCTATTCAGTTTGCTTGATTTGTCATGACTGATTAAGGTTTACCATTTGTTCTCTTTATTGTTGTTAGAGGTTCCTCTTGAATTCCATTTGCTTGCGTGGTACCCTGTCTCTAATATCCTTTAGTCACACCACTCTTGCGAGAATGGAGTATGTTATCTTTTCTCTCACTAGGGGGCTTTCAATTCTCATAAAATATGAATAAGATGTTTATGATCACCACCCTCTTCTAACATGCTGTGAAAGAGAGGTCCTGGTCCAGTCATTCAAGGTTAAACTTTTTGACGGTATCGTCGATCTCAAATGAATCTATTTGAAAATTTGAATACAACACCTTTTCTTATTTGGTAAAATTACAATTAACATCCTATGATCTATCTATATAATATATATATATATTACTATTACACTTAGCCTTCTAACGTAAAAAGAACAACTGCAATCTCTGATATCTCATTGAATTTTTTAAATAATCCCTGAATCTTAATTGTTATTCAATAAATATATGTTAATATTAAGTTTTAGTCATCTTTTTTTGGAGTTTTGGATAAGCCATTGATGAAATTACTACCCATCTAAAAACTAAGATGAAAGGGCTATTTCATCCTACATCTCTAACTATTTCATCTTGCATCTCCAATTTCTTTTTAAATTCTGAAACTGTTCTTACAATTCAAAGCACCCATTCTTATTCATTCAAGAACCTCCTACAACCCCAATTATTTATGCTTCATCGGATATCGAAATTCTTGAATTTTTTTTTTCTTTATTAGGTTTTGAATGAAAGATTCTTTTATTCTTTTCATCGAATGAAAGAAAAATGTAAACTTATTTTTGAAAATTGGAGGTGTAGAATTAATAATTAGAAGTATAGAATGAAATAGCCATAGAATGAAATCATTATAGGTACAGGGTGAAATAGGCATATGAAAGTTGTACACACCTTGTTGTCCATACAATGGGCTTCTCAAACTAGTAGAATGAGTCCAGTCCATAGTCTTCGTAAACGCAAACGCTCTTAAAGGAAGTAGGACGCTGGCCCAAGCAAACCAGAAAACTAAGGCAAATACTTCCTACACTTCCATAGTTTCTTTCTGCACCCCAATGAATATAATTTTTTTCATTTTTTTAGATTGCGCAATCCTGTCTAGATCTTGTTAAATTCGTTTCAGTATTTACAAGAACTTCTAAACTACATTGCTAAATCTTAGAATATTTTTTACTATAATAACTTATTTTTCCTATTAAATAAATGAAAAATTTGGTACTTTTCTTAATTTATACTGTTAATGCTTAATTTTTTATCATTCACGACTCAGTCCTTAATTTTTTTTAATAAAGGATTCTACACGTATTTTCCTCTTGAATAACTGTCTTCTTTTTTTTTACATGCCTACTGACCTTTCATCTGATTCTATATTTCTCCTAATAATCTTTTAACGAAAGATTTTTGCTTCCATTAATATTTTAACGAATACCAAACTTGTCTCTATCAACATCGGATACAATGTCGATATTTTCAAAAATAAATTTCAATTAATTAAAATAAATTTGACCAACTAAATTTTAATGTTGTGTATACATCGTGTAGCCCGACACAGAAATATTTTATGATAAATTTTAGATACAATATCATACTTAATCAGAATTAAATTCACTCATCAAGAACCATAATAATCATAATATAAGTTATTTTATTTTTTTTTTTCTTTTTGTCTATAAGCAGAAGAAAATATATATAAATGAGAATAAAAAGAGAGTAAAAGGGGAATAGGGTTAGTGGATAAATTAGATTGAGTTTTGTGCCTGGAAATACATTTGATGGCAATTCCTCACCCACCCCGTCCAACATGGGAATACAATTTAGGGTAATTCTACCCACCCCAACCAAAACCCTAATGGAATAAACACTGTTTTGGAGGGACATACATATGTGTGTGTGACTTTTTCCATAATCTCCATGTCAATTAAGAAATATAGAAGGGGAAGAAAAATCAAAATAAATAATAATCAAAACCCATTAGAATAGAAAATTAAATCGAAAATTCGAAAAAAAACTAAAAAAAAAAGAAGAAGAGGTTGAGGAAGTTTAGATAAGTTAACAAGGATACAATTAACAGCATGGAAGTTAATTAGTTGTTCTTAAGCAGTGGTTCTACCATAATGGAGCACCATGACATGATCCGAGGTTGAGGAATCTGAAAGCAAAGATGTTGTGGTGTCTCTGAGACTCCATATGTTATCCCTCACATGCTGCAACGTCAAGAAAGGTAAAAGTTGCTGCCCTCTGCATGTTATCTCTATCTGCAACACTCACATTTATTAATATTACTGTTATTATCATTCTCCATTATCATCTTCCACACACACCATCACGTGGCCACACAGTGATATATCCACCACCACAACAAAAACAAATAATATATATATATATATATATATATCTATATGATGTCAACAAAAGAAATACACAGTACATGATGACCTGTATTTGCCCATGTTTAAACTCATTATCATATCATCATCAACAAACTTTTCATCCAGTGCGTTATTAATAACAATTATACTTTTTATATTATCTTCTTTTCCTTCTTATTCCATTTTCCCACTTTTTTTTTTTCTTTTAACCTTTTTATCTTCATTATCTCGTATACTATAAACCTCATCATGTTTACTTTTTCATATATAATCCCTCATCCCGATATTTATATCTCCCTTTTACGCGACGCCTCGTTAGCTTGCTTTCAGTAAAGACTTCCCTGTTTAAATCATATATTATACATGAATGTTTTTTTAGTTTCTGATTTCTAGCGTAGCTTATTTGTACTAGAACTTAGACTCGGATTGTAAAAAATGAAGCATTAATGTGGAGTTTGTAATCCCATTGGAGTAATAGTAGTAGTGAAGAGAATGATGTTATGAAGATGAAAATGGTGATAGAGTTTGGTAAAAATGAAAACAGTGGTTGAGGATGAATATATGAAATCAGAATGAAGTCATGCTTTGTCAGTGGCTTACGTCTAGGGCCTACTTAGGAAGGCATAAGATCTTTGTAACTTCTGCTTTACGCATAAATTGATCCACACAGGTCTCCACTTTGGTATTTGATTTTAATGTTTGAGAAAAGCAAATTTCTTTAAGGCAAGAGATTCCTAAATCCTTAAGCATGCACGCATATTTGGGTCAGCGGGCAATCGTGGAAATGCCCACCCAACCCACCTTCTCAAAAACTGCCCTATCTTTAATCATTATGGGGGCCCATTCAGACTTTCCTCCCAAGCCATAATCATCATCTCTTAGACTTCAGTCTTTTCTTTTCCATTCTATTCTATATTTCGTATTAACATCTCACTCATCACCTCTTTTTATTCTATTAAACTAACATTAACACCATAACGTACAATATTATTATTATTATTATATCATGCAACGCTCGATCCATCAACCACGCCGAACAATAGGCATACCCACAATCTAAACTATTCTATCTTTTATTCTCTTCTTCTTTTTTCCTCCCTTCAAGAGACCTAATCACGCCTTTATATTACTAAATTTTTTCATCCTCATCATCACGTCTTCATCACGCACGTGCAACACCCAAACCCTAATGCATGCCACCGTACGTTCCCACTGCCCTTTTGGTTTTTAATCATCGACTGTGGCTAACTTGTTTCGTCTGTCATATATAAAAACTAACTCCACATATATAAATATATATGCTTTATTTAATATCGTACGACAGGTTTGAACTCGACAAAGTATATTAATAAAGAAGTGATTAAAGTGGCGTGGTTCTTTATATATACTTCCAACTGTTTTTTTTTTTAATGGTGCATGGAAATCGGTCAGCAAGTTTTGGTGTTTTTAATTGAGTTTTGATGGTGAATTGGGGAGATTTATTAGAGTGTTTATACTGTGGTTGGTGGAAGATGCTGCGTACACATAATGCGATTCTTTCTTTTGGTTCCATTCCATGAGAGTGCAGCACTTGACAGTTTGATGGAGCTTTTGAGCCAAATATTCCGTAGAAAAGGGGAGAGAAAGAGAGAGAGAGAGAGAGAGAGAGAGAGAGAGAGAGAGAAAATGGCAATGGGAAGAAGGGCCTACATTTGAAGCGAAGCGTGACGAAAGAGGAGAGAGAAAATCGAAGGCATGCAGATAGGTATTGAGTGGTGAGAATGACAGGGTCCACGTGTGATTTTGGAAGCCCTAGGATATGATGTTTGAGTTAAATTAAGAACAAATATCTGGTAACCTTTTTGTATGAGTAGTGCTGTCAACTAAGTAGGCCAAGATAAAGATATATCCAACTTTAAGATTATGTGTTTTTACATCTTAAAGTCAATGCACTCTTTATAAATTACAAAAGCAACAAGAAAAAGGGAAAAACAATTAATAAAACCCCTTCCACAATGAAACACATCTTTTTGCTTTCTTCCACTCATTATTCCCTTGACTATCTATTATATATACATATCCATGTTCATATTATGCCCTATATAAAACAAACCACCTTCTTCTTTTCTATTAACCTATATATATATATATACATGCTTCTCCCTATTTCTTACATTAAATAACTTAGACGAGAAAATTAACTCACAAAGAATACAGCTAATCTGGATGTATGCTAATGCTAATAATAATATATACTTAAAATCTTTATACCTATGCAAACTATCTAAAACTTTTCCAGAATTTACGATCGGAAACTGATAAATAAACTGTTTATATATACACAGAAGAAAGAGATTAAGGTATATACATATACATACATACATATATATATATATATATATATATATATATATATATATATATAAATAATTCTTTCATGCAGATAAAAATAAATAAACACAGAAAGATGTAGGAAAGAAGAAAAAGAAGGAAACAAATTATGAGGGTGAAAAGAGAACTTAAATAAATATTATAGAGGAATCCAGTACCATTTTACAGTTAATTATGAAGGATTTAGGAAAACAAAAGAATACAAAAAATACTATTACCTGTAAAAAGTCACATATATTTGTGACATAACTTCGGAGTTTTTGCATAAACCTGTACTTCTCATCAGCTACTACTAATGAATTTTCAAGTGCAGTAATGTTCAAAAGTGAGGCAGACAAATTTTCATCAGTTTTACTCAATGATGACATAGTTCTTCCATGAGAATCCTGTCATGAAAAATTAGGAGAAACTAAGGAAACATATCAATCCACTAAAAGATAAAATTTTGTATACATTTCATTACAGAGTAATATTCAAAGCAACAGTGACGCATACTGGTATCAATCTAGACATTTATCAAATGACAAAATTTAAAGGTTTCCAGGATTAAAAAAATTTTGTTTTTACAATTTAAAGACTTGAATATAACAAAATTCTAACTGCTGACCTTCATACACACTAAACCAAGGGATATTATAACATGAAAGAAATGAGATCCCATACACATGGGCAGATCCATGTACACCTCAGGGTGTACAAATCCACCTCATAAAACTTTGATAAAACTATAATGTAAATATCTTAAGTTTTGTATTATGCCCTCTATTATTTTACATCTGAACCCACTACTTTCCGATTTCTATTTCACCTTCAGGCATTTATTTCGAAAGTAAAATTAAATATTTTCTCCCATAACAGTGGCTACTCTACTATCTAGCTTTATTGCTCCCACTAACTCGGTGTCCTGTCCTAGACCTACACATCCGGTAAATAAAATCATGGAGAAAACTACCTATACAGAAGTCAATATACTCTTAGGTCAAGTCCATTTCCCATGCGCTCATTTATGCTTGCAGTCTATCGGTGATCTGATACACCAAATTTCCTAATGTGAGGCCACTTACTAGTACATATTCATAGAAGTAAGAGCTCGTTCAGATTTCAAATAGACTATATATAAGTAAATTTCTGTAGATGTTAACATAAATGTTTAAAATGTAGATACTCGTTAGATTTATTTAGCAATTCATTCATTTAAGCAATGCTTCATCATAACAAAGCCATACAATTGCCACCAAAAAGAATCATTTTCATGTAAAATTTTAAATAAAACAAGGAAATTTTCAAGGTAACTCTTCTCTATGGACGCATATTGTTAAGAAATGGACTTTAAGCCTAACTCAACCCCACAAAACTGGCTTGTAGGTTGAGGTTTGCACCCACTTATAAATTATGAATTGGCCTTATCTCTAGTCGATGTGGGACTTCCAACACACCCCCCTCACGCCGAGATATATACATCTCGAGCGTGGGATTAGACATTTTTAATGAGTGGTCCGATAGCGGCCCGATAGCGGGTGAAACAACATGCCCAGCAAACAACAAATATCGCTAGGATTGGCTCTGATACCATGTTAAGAAATGGACTTTAAGCCTAACTCAACCCCACAAAACCAGTTTGTAGGGTGAGGTTTGCACCCACTTATAAACTATGAATTGACCTTATCTCTAGTCGATGTGGGATTTACACCATTCCATTCCTTGGAAGTTCATATTCTCTGAGGCGATTCAAACAGAAGTACAGGCCATTAGTTAGTTCATCACCTAAATCTACATAAAATACACTTACAGTTGCACAGTGATATTGGTGAAGTCTAGTTGGGATAACTCTACAACCTAACAACAGTCCTAGTACTTAAAGTTTGATTAACAAGATCAGTGAACCAATGACAAATCTAGATTCGAGAATAGATTCCAATACCATCTTAGAATTTGGGGCTTAAGGCCTAAATATAAGCAAGCTCGAAAATTCAACAAGTAACAACTCAGCCTGACACACAGCCAAGTTTGGGACGTACCTTAAGCTTCCTCACATTCTCGACCAAGGCTTTCCTCGCACTCTCGGCTTGCTGCGATATGGACAAGACATCCAAAGCCGGCATCGATTCAATTGCTCCTCCGATGCCAGGACTCACTAATGCAGCGGCATTTGGAACAGAACCATACACAGTTGATGCAGAGGGAACAACATACTTGTGCTGTTGAGCACTTTGCCCAACAGGAACATCAACTCTAGCAGACCCTTCATCCATTCTCTTCCCCAACCCTTTCCTAAACTGTTCTTCTTCCCACATCTTCTCCTCCTCCTCATCATCCTCCTCTTCCTCCTTAAACCTCACACCCACTCTCCTCTCCTCCACCTCCTCAAAAACCCCCTTCTTCCCACCTTCAACCTTGTCACCCAAAATTGCAATCCGGCCCCGAAACTCCGGCTCCTCATCACTCAGCCCCTCAGCAGCACCATGATTGCTGCCTCCATCCAACGAGATATAATCCGGTGCAGCAGGGCGCGCCTGCCGGAGGCGCTCCCGCTTCGCCCGAATAGCCTTGATCATTTCTTCATCGGGGAAGAACGAGTCCTTCCCATTATGAAGGCCTAAGCCACCCAATTTGCCTTCAACCTCTTTGTGATCCCCCTCGGAGTCCGATTCCCGACCCTGGGGCTCCGAAGCTACTGGTTTGACGAGGCCCTTGATGACGATGACAGGTTCGGCGGGGGGTTTGGGCTCGGGCCGAGAGGAGCTGCTGCTGGTGACCAAGGTTCGGGTGTTCTTCTGAAGCTCGCGAAGGGTTTCTTTTGTGTAGGTTCCAGCTTGGGGTTGAACATTGGAAGGAACCGAAGGGGAAGAAGACGCTATTCGGTCTTTATGAGTGGTGATTTTGTGAGCGGAAGAGGGTTTCGTGGAACGTTGAGGTTTTGCGGATCGTGGACGAGGGTTTTCGTTATCTTCGTCGTCGGCGAAGCTGAGGAGTTTGGGGACTTGAGGCTTCTTGGGTTTGGCGGACGAAGGGGGTCTGGACGAGAGGGTGGAGGTATCGCCGTCTTCGTCGTTGGCTTCGGTGTCACCGCCGCCACGGCGGCGGAAGTTGCGTGATTTGGCGGTGGACATGTGGGAGAGCGAGGGTTCCGGTGGAGGCAACGGTCGAAGTGAATTAACGGATGAAGGAAAAGTTTGATTATATTAAGGCAATGTAGTAAATTATGGATTAGTGAGAATGTGATGAAGATTATCACAAAGTGTAATGTTGGTTTCAGTATAAGGAAAACCGGCAAGCCCTACATGCAAGAAGGGGGAAAATTGAATATGAATATCTTATAATGATTGCCAGATCCTCAAATTTCACTAGATAATAAAGGAGGAAGATAATGTTGTAAAACAATAAAATAAAATTTTAGAAAAGAAAATTTGAATAGAGTTGTAAATTTTTGGCTTAATACCCTATTTTGTCCCCAATTTCACTTGAAAATGTCAAATTAATTAATCCTTTAAAAAATGCGTCAATTACGTCCTAACTTAATAAAATTTGCATCAATGAAATCTCTTCCGTTAAATCCTAGCGTTAATTATTTTTCTCTCTTATTAAGTAACACCGTTTGTACGGATTTAACGGAAGGAATTTTATTGATGCAAATTTTATTAAGTGAGGACGTAATTGACGTATTTTTTAAAGGATGGACTAATTTGACATTTTCGAACGAAACTAAGGACAAAATAGGGTATTAAGCCTAAATTTTTTAGGGACTAGACAATATGTAATATTTATTAAACACTTAAATATTAAATAATCTTGGAAAACTTTTGAAAATAAAAAACAATAAGGCACGCTATTAATCATAAAGGATAACGTCGAGTCTGATTAGATAGTTTAATTTTATTGTTAAATTTATAAATATTTTGTTTCATTTTTTAAAGAAAAGGTTTAAACTCTCGTTTGGTTTTCATATTTGTCTGTCAATCTTAAGTAGATCATCGTTTTTTTTTCGGTCTCAATCAGGTCCATAAACTTGTAAAAATGAACCAATTAAGTTCTCTCTGTTAAGTTTTCATTGACATCGTTTAACTGTGATGACGTGGTTCGCACATTATATGCTGATGTATAAATATTATAATAGGTAGAATTTGCTATTTAAATAAAAAGTGTTTGACATGACACCAAATGTAATTATTTCCTCCCTTCTCCTTCTTCTCTTCACCCTTGAGAGAGAAGCTCTCTCTCCTCCGTCGATTGCCTCTTGAGCGAGTTCGGTCGCCTCCAAGCTCGCCGTCGGTCACAACAGAACTGTATCATTTTGAACCTTCTCGAACCTGCAGCGAATGGCCACCGTTGGAAGAAGTTATACCGAGAACGCGGAGGAGACTAGAGGAAGAAAGGGAGGGGTTGGTGAGGCGCGCATGGGGGAATCGACGCATTCGGCGAGGGCGACAGGGACCTCGGCGCGTAAGCCATCGAGCTCCTTCTTCTTGGCGCTAAGGAAAGCCCAGAAGCTGAAGGCATCCATGCGGAGGCAGAAGGACTTGAGTTTAAGGACGAGGCCGGTGGCGTCATCAACCTCGCCCTCGTCGTCGTCTGTGTGGGCTACACGGTTCAAAATCCCTTTTAACACTTTGTTTTGCTTCTTTTAACCATTTAATTCTATTTTAAATCACTGAACCAGGTATTGTTGCAAGCCAAATTGGATTTCAAAGCACATTCATCAAAACAGATTCAGTTTTCAACTCTACACCAGAAAAATTGGATTGATTTTGTGGTTTTAAACCCAAAACTGTGTAGAAGTGATTCAACAGTTGAATTGCTTCTTCAAACAACTTTGTATAATGAATTTAAGCATGTGCAAACTGTTAAACCAATCAGAAACATACTTCAATGCAAAATCATTGGTTCACTTCCATTTAAAGCACAATTTGAAGGTTTAAAAGGCAAATCTGCATATAGGCTGGAAAATGACCAAATGAACAGTGCAAACAA